CAGCTATCTTTACACAGTTCTGCAGAAACATTCACAACTGATCAGCTAGCTTTACACAATTCTGCAGAAACATTCACCACTGATCAGCTAGCTTTACACAATTCTGTAGAAACATTCACCACTGATCTGTTAGCTTTATACAGTTCTGCAGAAACATTCCCCATGGATCAGCTAGCTTTACACAGTTCTGCAGAAACATTCCCCATGGATCAGCTAGCTTTACACGATACTGCAGAAACTTTCACCACTGATCAGCTAGCTTTACACAGTTCTGCAGAAACATTCCCCATGGATCAGCTAGCTTTACACGATACTGCAGAAACATTCCCCATGGATCAGCTAGCTTTACACAGTTCTGCAGAAACATTCCCCATGGATCAGCTAGCTTTACACGATACTGCAGAAACTTTCACCACTGATCAGCTAGCTTTACACAGTTCTGCAGAAACATTCCCCATGGATCAGCTAGCTTTACACAGTTCTGCAGAAACATTCACCCCTGATCAGCTAGCTTTACACAGTTCTGCTGAAACATTCCCCATGGATCAGCTAGCTTTACACAGTTCAGCAGAAACATTCCCCATGGATCAAGCTAGCTTTACACGATACTGCAGAAACATTCACCACTGATCAGCTAGCTTTACACAGTTCTGCAGAAACATTCCCCATGGATCAGCTAGCTTTACACGATACTGCAGAAACTTTCACCACTGATCAGCTAGCTTTACACAGTTCTGCAGAAAAATTCACCACTGATCAGCTAGCTTTACACAGTTCTGCAGAAACATTCACCACTGATCAGCTATCTTTACACAGTTCTGCAGAAACTTTCACCACTGATCAGCTAGCTTTACACAGTTCTGCAGAAACATTCCCCATGGATCAGCTAGCTTTACACAGTTCTGCAGAAACATTCACCACTGATCAGCTATCTTTACACAGTTCTGCAGAAACATTCACAACTGATCGGTTAGCTTTACACAATTCTGCAGAAACATTCACCCCTGATCAGCTAGCTGTACACAATTCTGCAGAAACATTCACCACTGATCAGCTAGCTTTACACAATTCTGCAGAAACATTCACCACTGATCAGCTAGCTTTACACAGTTCTGCAGAAACATTTACCACTGATCAGCTAGCTTTACACAATTCTGCAGAAACATTCACCACTGATCAGCTAGCTTTACACAATTCTGCAGAAACATTCACCACTGATCAGCTAGTTTTACACAATTCTGCAGAAACATTCACCACTGATCAGCTAGCTTTACACAATTCTGCAGAAACATTCTCCACTGATCAGCTAGTTTTAAAAATTCTGCACAAAGATCTGTAACAAAGGGTGGTTACTACCACCATTACTGTAACACTTGTCAGAGTGGTTACTACCACCATTACTGTAACACAGGGTGGTTCCTACCACCATTACTGTAACACAGGATGGTTACTACCACCATTACTGTAACACAGGGTGGTTACTACCACCATTACTGTAACACAGAGTGGTTACTAGAGTGGTTACTACCACCATTACTGTAACACAGAGTGGTTACTACCACCATTACTGTAACACTAAGTGGTTACTACCACCATTACTGTAACACAGAGTGGTTACTACCACCATTACTGTAACACTAAGTGGTTACTACCACCATTACTGTAACACAGAGTGGTTACTACCACCATTACTGTAACACAGGGTGGTTACTACCACCATTACTGTAACACAGGGTGGTTACTACCACCATTACTGTAACACAGGGTGGTTACTACCACCATTACTGTAACACAGGGTGGTTACTACCACCATTACTGTAACACAGAGTGGTTACTACCACCATTACTGTAACACAGGATGGTTACTACCACCATTACTGTAACACAGGGTGGTTACTACCACCATTACTGTAACACAGGGTGGTTACTACCACCATTACTGTAACACAGGGTGGTTACTACCACCATTACCGTAACACAGAGTGGTTACTACCACCATTACTGTAACACTTGTCAGAGCATTTACTATCACAATTACTGTAACACTTGTTAGAGCGTTAACTACCACCATTACTGTAACACTTGTCAGAGCGTTTACTACCACCATTACTGTAACACTCATTTCCTTGATTGTATTGCCAGTTGCTGATGTAGAATTAATGAGAGCAGTAGTTTAAAACAGAAATGTCATTTGGTAACAAAGATTATGAAAGCTAATTGTAGCCTAAGCTTGTTATATAAAGGAATGCAGTTGTTCAGGATAACCTCATTTACATGTAAAACTATTTTGTGATGCTTTACTGAGACATTTGGTGAGGTTATCATTTTCTTCGGATCTAATTTGCATTTCCTGCGTACAAATTTACATCCTCTGGAGACATAGATACAGACTGCAAAACCAGGTGGAGCCTGAACAGATTGATACATGCCACTGAAATATGGACTATTATAATGCTGAACATTTACTTTTTCTAGACCCACAGCTGCAGAACATTACATTTCTAGACCTGCAGATTATGTAGATTATTTCTAGACCGACTGAACATGGGCTTAGTTTCATATCTACTGAACATCAAACGAATTCTAGACCAAAATAACAAAGCAGAACTTCAGCACCTTACTATGACACAGTATTATTTCTAAACCTGCTGAGCTGTCACAACATTTTATACCCTTACAGAGTCAAAATATTACTGCAGTATCAATTCAATCGTGTGATATTCATTTATGCACACATCTATTTAAACTTTTCATCAAGAATTAAGACTTGGAACATAGAAATCTATTTTTGACCAATCACCAACAGTAATAAGTCTGACACCAGGCATCCATGTAACTTTTATCTGACACTGAAAATGATAATCCCTGGTTTGGTTTGCTGTATTACTTAATGTGTGTAAAATCTCCATTAATCTAAGCATCTATATATTTAGCATTTTCTATTCATAGCTATTAGCTGCAATCACATCTATTGAAAAATTGGCTTAAGCACTTTGCAAAATGGGGAGACGAATGGTGCACACAGTTATCATAAGGCTCTTATGAGGAAGTATGACATGTGCACAGAGTGATGTATAAACAGAACACATGAAGTTAAGAAATATTTTCATACTTAAAACCAGAATGATATATAACGAGAAAAGACATCTTGGATACAAGTAGGGTAGTGATGAAAAGACTGATTAACTGCTTCAAATATTCTTACTTTATAAATAATCATTTTTAAGTTACAAAAAAGTATTAACTAAACAAACAAACTTATTATATAGAACATTATGATATATTTAACAGATCTGAAAATTGTTTTCAAAACATTTTTATTTTGTCTCTATCAAAAAAGATCATAAAGAAACAAAAAAATTTACAAAAAAAATTGTTCAAAAACTAAAACCATGCAGGTCTTTTTCAACGCTGATAAACATAAAGAATGAAAAATTTAAAAAGAATCAAATAAGTTCATTATGCAAATAAGGACTTGAAAGCAAGTTCATTCTAGTTTGACAATGAAACAACACAGGGTTCAAGGTCGCTTGAGAGTGGATCTAAGGTGCACACACACAAACTGCAGTCTTTGGAAGTAAAATGTGGAAGATTTTTTTTAAATATTTCAGTGTGGTGGACAGAGATGATGTAGCGGTGATTGTATAAAACGACACAGAAAGACTTGTGATATATAAGAACAGGCAACATGGGGAGTCGTGTGCCCCTAGTGATCAACACACAGCGAGGCGTGCCTCACAAGAACTACAGATAAGACACACGAGTGAAGATTTAGAGAAGTATTGACTGTCGAGTGACAGGTCTATCTATATAGAAACTGTCTCACCTTCCTCTGTGAGTTTCCCTTAGAGAAAATATGGCTACAGTTCAGCTTACAAATCAATAAAATAATGACTACTTAAAAATGCTAGATAACATGTCTTGTCTTTAATTTCCTGAAGGAACCAGACCTCACTGATTAGGTTGGTACAGATAGATTTGACAGGATGTATGTTTTTTTTTTTCCTCTGTTATCTGTAATGTAATGGATTGACGTTAAGACTTTTTCATTTACCTTGTTACTTTTCTGAACAAAAAAACACAAAAATCATGAAAGACAAATTAACAAAACCAACTGGTTGCAAGGAAGGCTTTTTTAGAATGAGATAACCAGGGGAGAAAGAATATGACAGGATAACATTCTAAGATGTTCTTCCCAGAAGATTGCTGACTCTTTGAACAGATTTTTGTCGGGTCAAGGTCAAAGCAGAGGTAAAATTGGTCAGGATACAAACATCTATGGTGACATGAGAAAGCAAATATGGCTGATGATTTGTAAAAGCAAGCCCGTATCATTTGTGCACAATGCCTTATTTAGAAGTTTCTCTTTACGAGTGAATAAACAAAACTTAAACTGGAAATAATAAAAATCTTCAATGGGCATGTGATATAAACAAAACAGATGTCTTTGACCTTGACCCTTATCTACCCTGGCAGCCTCCTTCGAAATCCACCAGAGATTGATATACAACGACAACTTGAAATATTTTCCTTCCTTTTGAAAATAAATTGCAGCTTACTCTATCATTATTTCTCATTGATGTCCTTGTGAGGTATTTCTAAATAATGATGAATGATCAAAGTAAAAATGAAATGAAGATATTTCCCATGTGAAAGTCATATTTCTTACTTAGTGCAGTCTTCTGGTTGCTAAATTACCATGGTTTTCTTGCATCAATTTAGGAATAGCTTTGCTATCATGATAAATATACTTATATTTTTCCATACACTTTTTTAAACATAGGATTTTCAAATTGCTTTATTTTTATACGATTTAAAAAAAACTGTTTTTTTCTTATTAGATTTTGTTGGAATATAATGTCCAATCATCTCTTATAATGGACCCATTTTACCAGTAGATACAATGATAAAAGACTGGTTACACCTTCCTAGTGTTTATAGTACTTGGCAGCAACTGTCAAGGATATCAATTAAAAGCTACTCATTTAAAAGCTACTTACATCTGAATCGGGTCCCACATCTGCTCCTGGACAAGTGAATGAAACAAACTCATGGCACCGCTTGTGGACAACAAAACTGCACACTGAAAAATACAATCCATTAATGGAATTAATATTTCACTAAATAGTCAAAATAATTAAGTTTAAAATTTCAACAGTGTTAAAAATATCCCTACTTGTTCCAAGACTGACATCATGTAGACATATCTCAGCAAAATAGAACAGAACTCTTTACACCTTTTTTGGTACTAAATAAAGAAGTACTCAGATTAGAGGTGATGAGATCAGAAGTACCCAAAACCAAAGAGTTGGAATGGAGGAGGCACTGAAATAGAAAGTACTATCAGAGAGAACCAATAACAAAGGTAGTCAAATCAGTGGTACTCAAATCACAGGTACTCAAATCAGAGGTACTCAAATCAGAGGCACTTCAATCAAAGGTACTCCAATCAGAGAGAACCCATAACAAAGGTAGTCAAATCAGTGGTACTCAAATCACAGGTACTCAAATCAGAGGTACTCCAATCAAAGGTACTCAAATCAGAGAGAACCCATAACAAAGGTAGTCAAATCAGTGGTACTCAAATGACAGGTACTCAAATCAGAGGTACTCAAATCAGAGGCACTCCAATCAAAGATACTCAAATCAGAGGTACTCCAATCAAAGGTAGTCAAATCAGTGGTACTCAAATCACAGGTACTCCAATCAGAGGTACTCAAATCAGAGGTACTCAAATCAGTGGTACTCCAATCAGAGGTACTCAAATCACAGGTACTCCAATCAAAGGTAGTCAAATAAGTGGTACTCAAATCACAGGTACTCCAATCAGAGGTACTCAAATCAGAGGTACTCAAATCAGTGGTACTCAAATCAGAGGTACTCAAATAAGTGGTACTCAAATCACAGGTACTCCAATCAGAGGTACTCAAATCAGAGGTACTCAAATCAGTGGTACTCCAATCAGAGGTACTCAAATCACAGGTACTCCAATCAAAGGTAGTCAAATCAGTGGTACTCAAATCACAGGTACTCCAATCAGAGGTACTCAAATCAGAGGTACTCAAATCAGTGGTACTCAAATCAGAGGTACTCAAATCAGAGGTACTCAAATCAGAGGTACTCAAATCACAGGTACTCAAATCAGAGGTACTCAAATCAGAGGTACTCCAATCAAAGATACTCAAATCAGAGAGAACCCATAACAAAGGTAGTCAAATCAAAGGTACTCAAATCAGAGGTACTCCAATCAAAGGTAGTCAAATCACAGGTACTCCAATCAAAGGTAGTCAAATCACAGGTACTCCAATCAAAGGTAGTCAAATCACAGGTACTCCAATCAGAGGTAGTCAAATCAAAGGTAGTCAAATCAGAGATACTCCAATCAAAGGTAGCCAAAACAGTAGTATTCAAATCAAAAGTACTCAAATCAGAGGTACTCAAATCAAAGGTAGTCAAATCAGAGGTACTCAAATCAGTGGTACTCAAATCAAAGGTAGTCAAATCAGTGGTACTCAAATCAGAGGTAGTTAAAATAGTTACTCAAATCAAATGTACTCCAATCAAAGGCAGCCAGATCAGTGGTACTCAAATCAGAGGTACTCCAATCAAAAGTATTTATATCAAAGAGAACCAGAAACAAAGGTAGTCAATCAAATGTACTCAGATTAGGGAGAATTTTACTGGTTATTAATGGCATTGAGCTGCTACTGGATGGTAACAAACAGTTGATATGATTTCAATTTGTGTGACAGTTAAATAGTTATAGCGTCATGATTATTTATCTGTCACCCAGATTGTATTCATATCAATAGTACATTATACTACCATCTAGTTACAGTTCAATGCTTATATCTATATTCATATACAAGTTTTGTCCACTAAAAGTTTACATTTCCTACTTAATCTGAATACTGACATCAGCAAGTTTAAATCAGAGAGCGGCCAAAATAATACATATATCCTTGTGTCATCATAACAATGAAATAAACTAGTACACTCTAAAATTTTAATTGAATTTATGAATAAAAGTGTAAATTAAGGTTTTTTTTTTAGATAACTGCATCAGTTTATTTTGTCAAAAAGTGATGTGACTCTCAGTCAGATTTCATACAAAACATGTCTAGGGTTTTTGTGCCATGAAGTAAATTGATGTAATTTTCATAAGATAACCAATACAATTATTAATGGAAGTTGTTTCTATCAGTTAGTAATGACATTTTGCTTGTAACAGATTTTACCTGTAGAAAGTCAGGTCAACAAACTTTGTAATCTTGTGTTTTGACAACATTAAATATTTTAAAACAAATTACATGTTTGACAATGAATTTGTTCTGTGATAATTTTAATGCTTTTGTGAAATTACTTTCTCTGAAGGCCTTTTGCTTATTTCCAACAAATCAGAGGAACTCAGATAAGATGTACTCAATAAAGTGAGAACCTGAATCAGAGGTACCCATATCAGAGGGAAATCCATACAGAGGTGGTCAAATCAGAGGGAAATCCATATAGAGGTAGTCAAATAAGAGGGAAATCCATACAGAGGTAGTCAAATCAGAGGGAAATCCATACAGAGGTACTCATATCAGAGGGAAATCCATACAGAGGTAGTCAAATCAGAGGGAAATCCATACAGAGGTAGTCAAATCAGAGGGAAATCCATACAGAGGTACTCATATCAGAGGGAAATCCATACAGAGGTACTCATATCAGAGGGAAATCCATACAGAGGTAGTCAAATCAGAGGGAAATCCATACAGAGGTAGTCAAATCAGAGGGAAATCCATACAGAGGTAGTCATATCAGAGGGAAATCCATACAGAGGTAGTCAAATCAGAGGGAAATCCATACAGAGGTAGTCATATCAGTGGTTCTCAAATCCAAGTAACTTTATCAGAGGTTCTTGAATTGGAGGTACTAGAATCGGATACATGTGAAACTGTTTATACACAGTATTAAATACTGGATAGCTGAAGCTGTTGGTCTTTTCCTGACATAAGCATATTTGATACTTGCATGTGTAATAAATACAACAGGCTCAGGGGCCTAAACAGTCAGCTGAGTGAACTCACAAACAGAAACAATTGAAATAAAGTGAAATGTAGAAAGTGAAAAATGAGAAATGTTAGTTGTATTTCAGCAGAAAAGTTTTATTAAAGTTGTTACTCATTATTGTATAACTTTCATCACATAATGGTAGCCTAATAAACTATCGTAAATATACCCCCTCCCAAAAATGTTCAACTCTGGGGTCATGAAATTTACTATTTTGGTGAAGCTCCTTTAGTCTCATCCATCCATTAATAACAAGTTTTTGATTCCACCATATTTGGATATTGAAAATATTTTTGAAATTTCAGTTAATTTTATCCTTTTTGGCCCTGTCTATCAGCCCTTGGGGGCCAGCGTGGGTCAGTATCTACATAACATTAAAATGTCATTTTATACAAATAATCCTAATCAAATTAAATCTATTTGCAATTGAAAAAACAATTATGCTCAAGAACGTGATTTTCCTATATAAACTGTAGTAAAATTTACCCCCTCCCCAGGGGGAAATGCAAGACCCTGGAGACATATAATTTACTGTTTTGGTAAAGCATCATAAGACCCTTCTACCAATGAAGAGTTTTTGAGTCTACCAACAATTTTTTAATTTTTAGTCAATTGTACCTTTCTTCCCTCTGCCTCTCAGGCTCTTTGAGGTGGAGACCATATAATTTACAACTTTTTTTTCACATTGGCCTCACAAACTTTTTGCAAAATTTCACTACAATTGGTTTGGGGTTTTTCAGAAGTCAAAAATATAAAAAGGTTACAGGCAAACAACAGACACTTGATGCAGAGGACACCAGACAAGGAGGGGATCATTATAGGTTGCCATGATACTTTGTTTCAGGTGACTCAATAAAATATAATCTTACATGGACTTTCAATGTAGTTATTATTTTTATGAAATAAGAAAACTTTCAGCATATATCATTATTACAGTCTTAAAGGATTAAAATAGTAATTCATAGTCTATTATATAGACCAACATCTTTCAGATAATCTAGAATTTGATAAATCTCAACAGTTTCAAAAAGGGTCTTTAGACTTAAAACAATACGATAAAAAATTTCTCGAGTAGACAGAAGGTCAATGCAGTCTAATAAAAAATGTTTAACAGTGAATGGCTCATCACATCCTATGCATTAAGGATTATCTTTGCCTTATATATATATGAATATATAAGGTAAGTATGGTCCGTGCAACGAAAGGCAAGGACAACTTTGTCTCGGTGGTTGTCTCTTCTACAGTATAAAGACCATAAGAGGCACTTATTAAAGCACTGGTACATTTCATTTGTTTATAATTTCCAGTACAATGATTGTTTTGACATCTGCATAATGGTCTCCTAGTTACCATGGATTTGGGGAGAATGCTATAAGATCAGTTAGTTATTCAGTAAATATAAACTGGGTCATACCTGATTATATCATTGGGTGCACTGATGCTTGTATTGTTTTAAAATTGAAATAACAGAGGCTAGGTCCTGCTCTTCGAGCTACAGATGTAATATCAGTGAGCCGCACTGATAAATGGCGATGAGAGTGTAGTGCTCTAATGCTGTGGTATATTGATGATGAACACCAAGATGACAGTGACAGCACTGTACTGGTGTGGTGTATATCAGAGAGTATAAAGCAGTGTTGAAATCAAGTACTCTCAAAACATCACTCTTTCTCTGTCTTTCATGAAATTCTCTCTACCTTTCCCTTTCTTTTATGTTTCCAAATTTCAATCTGTCTTTCCCTTGTTGATGCCTTCTTTTTCCTACACCCTTCCTTTCCTGTCCCATTTGTTCCTGTGCCTTTGCTTTTCCTATACATTTTTGCCTTTTTAATAACCTTCCCCTTTCCTTAACTTTTGTCTTTCTCATACCTGTTTGCCTTTCCTACACCAATGCCTTTCCCTTACCTTAATGCCTTTCCAGTACCTTCCCCTTTCCTACACCTATGCCTTTCCCTTACCTTGATGCCTTTCCAGTACCTTCCCCTTTCCTACACCTATGTCTTTCCCTTACCTTAATGCCTTTCCAGTACCTTCCCCTTTCCTACACCTATGTCTTTCCCTTACCTTAACAGCTTTCCAGTACCTTCCCCTTTCCTACACCTATGCCTTTCCCTTACCTTAACAGCTTTCCAGTACCTTCCCCTTTCCTACACCTATGTCTTTCCCTTACCTTAACAGCTTTCCAGTACCTTCCCCTTTCCTACTCCTATGCTTTTCCCTTACCTTAATGCCTTTCCAGTACCTTCCCCTTTCCTACACCTTTGCCTTTCCCTTACCTTAACAGCTTTCCAGTACCTTCCCCTTTCCTACACCTATGCCTTTCCCTTACCTTAATGCCTTTCCAGTACCTTCCCCTTTCCTACACCTATGCCTTTCCCTTACCTAAATGCCTTTCCAGTACCTTCCCCTTTCCTACACCTATGCCTTTCCCTTACCTTAACAGCTTTCCAGTACCTTCCCCTTTCCTACACCTATGCCTTTCCCTTACCTTGATGCCTTTCCAGTACCTTCCCCTTTCCTACACCTATGTCTTTCCCTTACCTTAATGCCTTTCCAGTACCTTCCCCTTTCCTACACCTATGTCTTTCCCTTACCTTAACAGCTTTCCAGTACCTTCCCCTTTCCTACACCTATGCCTTTCCCTTACCTTAACAGCTTTCCAGTACCTTCCCCTTTCCTACACCTATGTCTTTCCCTTACCTTAACAGCTTTCCAGTACCTTCCCCTTTCCTACTCCTATGCTTTTCCCTTACCTTAATGCCTTTCCAGTACCTTCCCCTTTCCTACACCTTTGCCTTTCCCTTACCTTAACAGCTTTCCAGTACCTTCCCCTTTCCTACACCTATGCCTTTCCCTTACCTTAATGCCTTTCCAGTACCTTCCCCTTTCCTACACCTATGCCTTTCCCTTACCTAAATGCCTTTCCAGTACCTTCCCCTTTCCTACACCTATGCCTTTCCCTTACCTTAACAGCTTTCCAGTACCTTCCCCTTTCCTACACCTATGCCTTTCCCTTACCTTAATGCCTTTCCAGTACCTTCCCCTTTCCTACACCTATGCCTTTCCCTTACCTTAATGCCTTTCCAGTACCTTCCCCTTTCCTACACCTATGCCTTTCCCTTACCTTAATGCCTTTCCAGTACCTTTCCCTTTCCTACTCCTATGCTTTTCCCTTACCTTAATGCCTTTCCAGTACCTTCCCCTTTCCTACTCCTATGCTTTTCCCCTACCTTAATGACTTTCCAGTACCTTCCCCTTTCCTACACCTATGCCTTTCCCTTACCTTAATGCCTTTCCAGTACCTTCCCCTTTCCTACACCTATGCCTTTCCCTTACCTTAATGCCTTTCCAGTACCTTCCCCTTTCCTACACCTCTGCCTTTCCCTTACCTTAATGCCTTTCCAGTACCTTCCCCTTTCCCACACCTATGCCTTTCCCTTACCTTAATGCCTTTCCAGTACCTTTCCCTTTCCTACTCCTATGCTTTTCCCTTACCTTAATGCCTTTCCAGTACCTTCCCCTTTCCTACTCCTATGCTTTTCCCCTACCTTAATGACTTTCCAGTACCTTCCCCTTTCCTACACCTATGCCTTTCCCTTACCTTAATGCCTTTCCAGTACCTTCCCCTTTCCTACACCTCTGCCTTTCCCTTACCTTAATGCCTTTCCAGTACCTTCCCCTTTCCCACACCTATGCCTTTCCCTTACCTTAATGCCTTTCCAGTACCTTTCCCTTTCCTACTCCTATGCTTTTCCCTTACCTTAATGCCTTTCCAGTACCTTCCCCTTTCCTACTCCTATGCTTTTCCCCTACCTTAATGACTTTCCAGTACCTTCCCCTTTCCTACACCTATGCCTTTCCCTTACCTTAATGCCTTTCCAGTACCTTCCCCTTTCCTACACCTATGCCTTTCCCTTACCTTAATGCCTTTCCAGTACCTTCCCCTTTCCTACACCTCTGCCTTTCCCTTACCTTAATGCCTTTCCAGTACCTTCCCCTTTCCCACACCTATGCCTTTCCCTTACCTTAATGCCTTTCCAGTACCTTCCCCTTTCCTACACCTATGCCTTTCCATTACCTTAATGCCTTGCCAGTACCTTCCCCTTTCCTACATCTATGCCTTTCCCTTACCTTAATGCCTTTCCAGTACCTTCCCCTTTCCTACACCTATGTCTTTCCCTTACCTTAACAGCTTTCCAGTACCTTCCCCTTTCCTACACCTATGCCTTTCCCTTACCTTAACAGCTTTCCAGTACCTTCCCCTTTCCTACACCTATGTCTTTCCCTTACCTTAAGCTTTCCAGTACCTTCCCCTTTCCTACTCCTATGCTTTTCCCTTACCTTAATGCCTTTCCAGTACCTTCCCCTTTCCTACACCTTTGCCTTTCCCTTACCTTAACAGCTTTCCAGTACCTTCCCCTTTCCTACACCTATGCCTTTCCCTTACCTTAATGCCTTTCCAGTACCTTCCCCTTTCCTACACCTATGCCTTTCCCTTACCTAAATGCCTTTCCAGTACCTTCCCCTTTCCTACACCTATGCCTTTCCCTTACCTTAACAGCTTTCCAGTACCTTCCCCTTTCCTACACCTATGCCTTTCCCTTACCTTAATGCCTTTCCAGTAGCTTCCCCTTTCCTACACCTATGCCTTTCCCTTACCTTAATGCCTTTCCAGTACCTTCCCCTTTCCAACACCTATGCCTTTCCCTTACCTTAACAGCTTTCCAGTACCTTCCCCTTTCCTACACCTATGCCTTTCCCTTACCTTAATGCCTTTCCAGTACCTTCCCCTTTCCTACACCTATGCCTTTCCCTTACCTTAATGCCTTTCCAGTACCTTCCCCTTTCCTACACCTATGCCTTTCCCTTACCTTAATGCCTTTCCAGTACCTTCCCCTTTCCTACTCCTATGCTTTTCCCTTACCTTAATGCCTTTCCAGTACCTTCCCCTTTCCTACACCTATGCCTTTCCCTTACCTTAATGCCTTTCCAGTACCTTTCCTTTCCTACTCCTATGCTTTTCCCTTACCTGAATGCCTTTCCAGTACCTTCCCCTTTCCTACACCTATGCCTTTCCCTTACCTTAATGCCTTTCCAGTACCTTCCCCTTTCCTACACCTATGCCTTTCCCTTACCTTAATGCCTTTCCAGTACCTTTCCCTTTCCTACTCCTATGCTTTTCCCTTACCTTAATGCCTTTCCAGTACCTTCCCCTTTCCTACTCCTATGCTTTTCCCCTACCTTAATGACTTTCCAGTACCTTCCCCTTTCCTACACCTATGCCTTTCCCTTACCTTAATGCCTTTCCAGTACCTTCCCCTTTCCTACACCTATGCCTTTCCCTTACCTTAATGCCTTTCCAGTACCTTCCCCTTTCCTACACCTCTGCCTTTCCCTTACCTTAATGCCTTTCCAGTACCTTCCCCTTTTCCACACCTATGCCTTTCCCTTACCTTAATGCCTTTCCAGTACCTTTCCCTTTCCTACTCCTATGCTTTTCCCTTACCTTAATGCCTTTCCAGTACCTTCCCCTTTCCTACTCCTATGCTTTTCCCCTACCTTAATGACTTTCCAGTACCTTCCCCTTTCCTACACCTATGCCTTTCCCTTACCTTAATGCCTTTCCAGTACCTTCCCCTTTCCTACACCTATGCCTTTCCCTTACCTTAATGCCTTTCCAGTACCTTCCCCTTTCCTACACCTCTGCCTTTCCCTTACCTTAATGCCTTTCCAGTACCTTCCCCTTTCCCACACCTATGCCTTTCCCTTACCTTAATGCCTTTCCAGTACCTTCCCCTTTCCTACACCTATGCCTTTCCCTTACCTTAATGCCTTGCCAGTACCTTCCCCTTTCCTACATCTATGCCTTTCCCTTACCTTAATGCCTTTCCAGTACCTTCCCCTTTCCTACACCTATGCCTTTCCCTTACCTTAATGCCTTTCCAGTACCTTCCCCTTTCCTACACCTATGCCTTTCCCTTACCTTAATGCCTTTCCAGTACCTTCCCCTTTCCTACACCTATGCCTTTCCCTTACCTTAATGCCTTTCCAGTACCTTCCCCTTTCCTACACCTCTGCCTTTCCCTTACCTTAATGCCTTTCCAGTACCTTCCCCTTTTCTACACCTTTGTATTTCGCATTACCATGCCTTTGCAATACCACCCTTTTTCCAATACCTCCTTTCCTTCAATTTTGTCTTTTTAATATTCCTGTGATTTTTCCAGTACCTTTGCCTTTCCTATACTCCTATCTTTCTTAACTTTAACTTATATACACTTTACTTCTGCCTTTCTTATACCTCTTCCTTACTTATTAATTTGGCAACAATCAAATTAAAGCTTCAGTCCAGAGTTTTCCATGATCTTGGTGGTAATCAAGTAAAGTGGCAAAAAAAACAGAATGTGAAAGTAAAAAGACTTTTTTCTAAGAAACACAGAAATAAAGAGAAAACCAATGTAAACAGAAAATTTACCACATACAGCTTCAAGTGAGCTGATATACAATAACTTCTGAGTAGGAAAATCTGTTGACTGTCCTAACAGACAGTGTCCAACCCTACCTTCAACCCTATCAATAAATGTCTGTAAAGTGGATGATGACACATCACAAGTATTCACAAAATCTTATAGGTCCTTTTTGTACTTCCTTAGTTGTGAAAAATCTAATTCTTTAAAAAACTGACAGCATCCTCTTTCACATCACATCTTCCTTGTGTCCATGTGTTCAAAGTAAAAATATCCCCTTTCTATCATTTCCTTGTTGACTGTTTAAACACTCCTAATGTATAGGCATATCCGTTACTGCTCTCCAATATTTTTAAACCAACATCCTTACTAACAGCTGATGGAGGTTTATACAATATAAAGTGGTCCTTTACTACAGATATGACCATTAACACAGGTTCAATTTACATTAATAAAAGTGAAATGGCAATTATTAAAATTTCTTTTAAAACAGTTGATGACTATAATCGTGATCACCACAGACCTTCAAAAAGCTCTTTGATTTAACCATCTGTTTGACAATAGTGACCACAAAATTTCACTCCTCAAATAATTCTTTTATGATTTGGAAGCTTCAGGTAAGAAAATTATAGGTAAAGACACAAGACAATGCAAACAATAGACAGGATATCATCTGTCAATACAAAATATAAATTGAGCAAAATGAGAAACAGTAAATATTGTATCCTATGACCTTAATCGAAGTATTATTTAAGAAACAAATTTTATTAACTCAACAGTGCATCTGACTACAGAAACACATATCTTCTTTGCCTATTTAAACGAGTGTTTCATTTGAAGAAAATAAAATGGATTCCTCCAGAAAATGAGTGAACTTTATCAATCATATCTTGAGTCACTTGACTGCTAGTTTTCTAATCCTAAGTGATTATACTACAATGATTCAAATTATTTTCCTGGTGATCAAATCCCAAATCTGGGTAAAAAATACAGATATTTTAACTTGCTGATACATGGCCATTTCTACCTCAAATTTTCCATTTCTTTTTGCTAATTTACTCATTTTCATCAACCTCTTGTCATCTAATACCTGGTCATTACCTTGAAAATCAAGGGTGACAGGTTGTCTTGAAGGGTTATCAAAGAAAAGATCTTATAATCGATTCTATTGTAAAGCTATCACAGCTGCATATATTTAGATGATGTTCTATGTTATGTGTGTATTGTATAGTTATCACATCTGTATATATTTATATTATGTTCTATGTTATGTTAAAAAATTATTTTTTACATTTTTCAAATATTGCATCAAAGTCAGGTAATATCTGGTGATTGTTGCACTTTTAACAATTTGAACAGGTAAATCCTATGTCCACTCTCAGGTTGTACTGACCAAATAAGGTGAGTTAGTGATACTGTTTCTACATGTAGATTCCTGCTATCTGAATACACCACACACCAGCTGGTTGTGATGGACATTTACTTGACATAATCCGCCTATGTAAATACACAAAAAACAACAATCTGACATTTTGTTACTGTAACATAAACTTTCAAGAAACATTGGCATGGTATCCTAAATCCCATTGGACATGACCTATATAGAAGATCTACACAGGAATGAAATTGTCACTGTATTTTCAAACTTCCTGTTGATTTGCAATACAATGGAAATAAAGTTTGCTTCAATTGCTATGATTTGCCAATAAACCAAAGCTGTCTGGTCACAGTACTCTTTAAAGTCCCTTCAAAGAAGATTGTGCATCGACCATTATACCAACACATACAACCTTTAAGACCCAGAGCTAGCTGGCTGATACATAAAGGTTAAAAATCTCTACTATATGTAACTCTAACTTTGTATTAAAAGGTGCTATTCACTTGAGTGTCTTTTGTACAATCTACAGAGATTTTCATTTTCTAATCAGGCCTTACACTACTACATACATGTAACTAAATACAAGTATTTGTTTTCGGTTTTTCATCAGCTGCTGCCAACACAGAAAGTGCTTTTCCATCGATACAATAATATCAAACACAAGAAATGTAGGTTTGTCAGTGGACAAAGAAATAGCATTTAGCAATGTTACTGCAGAACTGAAATAGATATAATATGGGTGACTTGTTACTACCGAACATGGGCTTATTGCCAGATTATACACAGGATATAATTCCTGCACAGCAGCACTGTAATGATCAAGACTTGGTGGAAAGGTCAATACCTTATTGCTGTAATATTTTCACCATTTCATTTTCAATTTTGCTTAAAGCATATACTCTTAACTAAAACAAATCACGAAGTGGGATTTAAACAAGAACACCTGTAGAATGTGATTCTGGTGAATAAAATATGTTATCTTGATCCTTCTCTTTTAATCTTTGTGTTAATTACTATGGCTCTGTGAGTAATTAGAGTTAATTCAACACCTTGCTAATAACAACTGTTACCTATACAACTGATCGCCCTATTGGAAGGCTTTTAATTCCTAAGGAACTTTATCAAATGGATAGATAAATGAACATGTACATAAAACACAAGAACACAGAGATAGTATGGTAATGATAGGGCCAGTCAATGTAATCTGACACTAAAAACACTATATATAACAGACCTTGTGTCTGCCGTTTGATACACACCCACCATCACACCCCTCTAGTCCAATTTTCCAACATTTGTCTACTCTTACAGATTTCATCAACTCTAGTAAGGAAATGCCTTTCCAAAGAGAAATCACTTTTAATTCTGGTATTGCATATTTCTTTAAATAACACAGGTCCTGTATGTACCCAAATCAAGATATATGACCTGTATTGTGAAATCTTTTTGATATAAGTTTGAATTTTAACCAACTTGAATCTATAACACAAAATGGCATTTGAAATCTGATATTCAATGTACATGTATATATCAAACAACAGAAGAAATCTTGTACAACAGTATGAGTTTATCAATACATAGACTAACTGATGCATTTAAGAAAACAGCAAACATCATGTGAACTTTGACCCGGCCCCTAGTGTAATACACATGAAACAACACCTTACCACTGCCACAGATTAGGAGGTGAGCTTATAGCAGAAGAAACTGCACAGTACTTGTGTTTCCTCCAGAAACTTCAACAGATATGAGTGGGCTTATCACCAGAAATATAGTATACGTTAGATAGATTGTACAGGACACAAGCCAATCAATCCAGGTACATTCTGGAGAAAAGTAAAAAAAAATTGCCCTATCAAGTCATGTATTCTATAGTGATATAGATATTTGTGTATTGTAAAGTAGTATTGTCCACAAAGTCTTAATTAATTACTATCTGACTTTATATTTGAGAATAAGTTAACATCCTCTTAAGACCTAATGTGTTTTGTATATACATATGTATATATCTAGTGTCACTCTCACCAGGAAAAGATTTAAATAGGCTCTGCCTGTTGTACAAATTCCACATCATATGAAACAATATGATATGCCCTTGACTTCCTTATAGAGCTAGTTGTAAGGTTACACCTTGTGGAAATGTTAATCATTTAAACAACTGCTTTAAAACAGCATTGAAAGAAAACCAGGACAAGCTGCACTGAAAATTTTAACATGAAAGGATATTGTCCTATGTAATAGTCTTATGTTATCATCATTAAAATCTCATTTATTATGTTGTTACATAATACCCATTAGCATTGCTTGTAGATAAGATCCTCACAGGTATAGACAGATAGACCTGCCATTACAGCTATTACCTGGAAATACACAAGTTAGTGAAAGTCACTTGAGGTCATCCCAGGTCATGCATGACTGGAATGGTAACTTTTGTCATGAATGATGGATCAGTGAACGTGTCAGTCAAACGACAGACTGGTCAGAAGTACTAAAAACAGACACTAATTAGACATTCCTATAGTCGAGGTGATAATGGCAATAAGAATATTTGTGTTATCTATGTGACGTATAATACTTGCCCTTGACTTCCCCTAGGCTATCACACCTCAACAAACTTTACAAGTCTGCCATAATTACCAAGCTCAAGCAGTATACAAGGATAGTTTTGCCACTTGAGACGTTGTCCTTCTCCACACAAAATTTATGCTACTTAACATTTAAATTTCACATTCCATTGTGGAAATACTGCATGTCATAATCTGTGTTGTAATTTTTCTTGTGAAGCCATTCATCACTCTTATCATCATAGTCACCACAGGGGTTAAAAGGTTGACAGTCACAAGGGTTTTTACTGGAACACAAAATTTTAGTCCTTTCTCCACAGTATAAAAAATAATGATATATCATGTACAACTACACCATTACTACAGTACACCACTTAAAATATGAAGTTTGGATTTTTCTTTTTTCATTGTTGTAATGACTATATATCAGAAATCTGAAGACAATTAGTCTACTAATTACACTACCAAAAAGTAGAAATTAATGTACATTGATGTAATAGTCAGACGTAATATACATTATTGGTATTGTCATACATGTGATATATACATTGTTGGTACAGTATTGTTAGACATGAGATATGTACATCAGTGGTGTTCAGTAGTGACAGCGTATGTATGTACAGAACATACATATCCTTCAATTTCATGTAATCTCTAGGTTTTATAAGACTAAAAGCTGTATTAAAACATACAAATCGTTCAATTTCTTGTAATCTGTAGGTTTGATATAACCTTAGCGTTTTTAATGTGCCCTCCTCTTTATAGTGTTAGACTATCACCACACCTATAAATTTTAATGTGCTCATACTTGTAAACAATTTGTTACTGATAAGATACATTAGGTAGCCAGGATCTTGTACACAGGGTCTACCCATTGCCTACTATCTTTAACAGTTTGTAATTTATCAGATATTGCTTTTTTAAACAGATATTACCAACAGCCATAATCAATTTGTTTTACATCAACCATGAAACCTTATCCAGAACACAATAGTGCTCCGGAGACAGAATCTCTATGAAATAGGTGTATGTCCCTTCAGCATTCAGCAGTAAAGCATTTAATGAAAACCACAACACTTGTCCACACTATTGATTATATTGTTAACAACAATAACAAAATCACATTGCTGTAGGTAGATTTTATTATTGATGTTAATAATAAAATCACATTGCTGTAGGTAAAGGTAGGTTAGAGAGGTGATTATGCTGTTCTTGC